GTAGAAGAGAGAAACTACATGTAAAATCCAGTCCGTTGCCGAGTTTGTGTGCTCAGAGCGCGATCCTGGAGGGACCCTTGCACATTTTTAATCAATCGCTCCTCACATGACCATAAGTATGTTTCCCTCGACTTTAGTAGCAGACTAGCAATCAGTGCCGTTGATCATGGTGTGCATCAGGGTTGAATCAGGCAGCTGTTTCTTCGCCCTTATGGGCAGCTCTATATATAGTAATGATGTTTTAGTAGGGCGAGAGCTGATCAAAGCCGCCTCTTCATTTTTTGACTGATTTTCTCGTCTAGCACTTTCATTGGGCTATTTGATGCCTAGATATTCATGGCTAGTGACTTCTTCCAGTTCAACGCCATTTTTCTACATCGCGTAAATTCACCTTGAAGAGGTCAACCTCAAAACTGATTATTACAGATTTGTCTCGCAATGGCCAGACCTTCCGCTAGAGCTCCATCGTGTCTTATGCGAGGACGATCCGGTGGTCAGCAAATAACCAATTATCAGCTTCTCTCCATCAATGTTGATGCCGCTGCACCAGTTTAACCGGTTGAAGCCTGACTCCGAGACCATGACGAAGAGCGCTGGTGAGATTGCATCTCCTTAGCACACTCCTTGATCGATACTGATGCTAAATTTTTTACTGGACTGCTCAATGTCAGGCATGCAGCCGATGTTCAGTTCGTCGATCAGGGTGAGGCAAACAGGATTTATGCCATATTGTGGCAAGGAGTTTAGCACAGCCGTCAGTTCTTTCGAATCGAACGCCTCTTGCTAGCCACTGAAAGCAAAGCAGCGCGGGACTCGAAATTCGCTACACTTCTCCGTGAGCTGCTAGATGACGTGCATACGGTCGATGGCAGAAAACCCTGTGTCAAAACCGACCTGTTTCTCGCTTATGATTAGTTCAGTGTCCTTATAAATACGGCTGAGAATGATGAGGGTAATGACTTGGTAGATATGCTGCAGGTGTATAATTGGTCGATAGACAAATGCGTCATACCTATCCTCAAAGCGAATAGAAAAGTGTACGGTGATCTATGGTCGTAATCTTGAGATCTAGCAAAATTCACCGACCTGCAATCCGTCGAAAGGAAAATTCACCGATTCTACAATTGATCGCCGATAATTTATTTATTAAAAACTATGAAACGTGGAAAACAATTTATTTCAAATTATAAAGTATTGACAGTATTTTAAAAAAATTCACATGTGCTGATTTTAAATTAATTCGTCTAAAAATGATAATGATGTAAGTACCTGTAAATTTCGAATAAAACACAGATTTCATTGAAATCATTTAATTGAAAAAAAAACTTCCATAACATTGTATATACGCATACAAATATGTTGTTACTGCAACACCTAATTAGTCATTTATATTATGTGCCACATCCTCTCCAAAAACTAAGACATTTTTTTCTGTCATAATTCGCAATTACTCTGAAAAGTCTTTCAGCGCATCCCTATGCTTCTTCTGCGCAGGGCTACCTTGTTGGCCACTCACATATCGTTCTATTTATAATGTTCTGATGCTCAGCTCACGCTGAATCGCTTCAATAAACTTCCAGATATTAGGGTGTTGTGAAGATATTTGTATTTTGAAACCCGATGCTCCCTTCAAATGAATTATTTGTCTTCGGAAGACGGTGTCTCATTCCTTCATGGCAGTTTCACATTTTGATGGACAAGCAGAGCATTCGGCGTCCCATGTGTCACTGAGGACATCCAATCCAGCAGTCCTCAAGGTAACCAATCATGCATTCTGCATCTTCAGGCAGAATGTTCAGCATGTTATCACCGCTACCGCTAAGAACTTCAAATGCTTCGAGCACATCTTCTATGGGTCAAAAGACAACGCAGATAACAATCGCATTTCATTGCAAATTCGACGTCAGTTTCGTACCTTCTTTGAAAATCCTGTGCCTGAATCGTTCAAGGTGTACACTGCTAGAAATGGAAGAAACATCCTCGATATCTAACTCTTGGAGATTCTTAACGAATAACACTGACTATGGCAGGTTCGAAATCGGTCATAATTGTTTCTGGGGAGGCATCAGGTTGAAACTGTTTTACTTGTTGCAATAACCCAACATATGTAGCCTCTGTCTTGTCCGGTAGAAGAGCATACAAAAGCGGAATTGAACTGTTCACCTGAATACCATGAAACAAGTGGAGTGTAAAACAAATGGGGCACTGTTTTAAAAGTTCCGTCCCCAAACCAATGCTCAGATGAGGCCAATAAACGGAGATTTCTATCGGTGGAAAATATAACTATTCTATCTTCCGTCGGCCCTGAATCAAACAACAAGAACGGTTCACTTTCTTTAAATATCTTGTATTCCTCGGGAAATACAATTTCCTCTCAGGTTAGGGGCAAAGCTAGTATTGCTTGTTTCTTTATTCTGATGTTTCGCAATATGTCCTGCAGCTTCTTGCGAGAATCCCAGAAACGCAACTAGATATAATATATTGGGGTACTTCTTGGCTATTGAATGCATGATCACGTACAATATCCTCTATCTTCAAAGCTTCTATATGAGGTGCAGCCCCAGTGTGGTTGTGAACTCCCACTCAATGGCATCTCAAACTGTTATTACACGAACCCGGCATTTGTGCTTCTGATACATCTTACACCTTCAATACGTCTTTTCAGCCTGCTTTTCTTCGAAAAATAAGTGACCGTCCACTAAAACATTCTGTTTTCCCTTTTCACTCATGAGGAACAGAAAGGTCATGACGGCTAACGAAAATTCATCGTAGCTGAAGAATCACACTCGAAGAACTTTTCAAAACTGACCTCGCTGAATTTTCTGAGGTTTTATACAAGGATGAAGAATTGTAATTATTCTGCTCATTAACATAATCTTTCAAATATGCTATTTCTAAATAATTCCGTTTTAATTTTTAGTAGATACCCATATTTTTGTATGTAATAATAAATAAATCATTGATGATCAGTTATAGAATCGGTGAATTTCCCTTTCGACGAATTGTGGGTCGGTGAATTTTCCATGTGGCAGATTTTCCGGTCGTTCAATTTCTCAGTGGGTGAAATTTCCGGATACCCTGAGTGAGGGTATGTTCCAATTTCCGACTTTTAGCTCCCACAGGTGGTGTCGTTTCCGTGGAGCCTTA